TAAGCAGTGGATCGCTGAACACTGAGTCATATTGGGACTTCAGTATCTCACTCATTTCTTGGGTATCATCTGTGTATGTCCCATCCCACCTAAGCAGGGGCCCAATACTGGATGTTGTTTTTCCCCTAGATTTGGCATAAGTGAAGAAGTATTTTTTTTTTTCAATTTCCATTATGGCTTTTGGTTCTTCCTGTGATTCTTGTCTCCTATAAGATTCCTTCAGCTTAAGTTCGATATTTGCAATTTCATTGACTAGTGCTCCATTTGTATTTCAGATATATTGCCCCCACTCAGCAGCTCTGTGACTTTTCGCCTTCGTCTGTATAGGGAACGTCTCTCTTTTTAGTTTACTCTTTCTTTCTTTTTCTTAATGGAATGTGTCTTGAGCAGATCTCAAGAACCACAGAATTAATTTTTTCAAGGCAAATGTTCAGGTCCGTGTTGTTTAGGATATCTTCCCAGCTTGTTTCATTTAGGACATGGTTTACTTGGTCCCATTGTATGTTTTTGTTATTGAAATTGAATTTCGTGAAGAGACCTTCATGACTGCTCACATTTTGCTGGTCAGGAGCCCTGAACATACATGTCTGTACTTCTGTTATGTTGTGATCTGAGTGAATTGTCTTTGATACAGTTATATTACGTATCAGATCGTCGTTGTTAGTGAAGATGAGGTCCAGCGTATTTTCTAGTCTTGTAGGCTCTACTATTTGCTGGTTTAAGGTAAATTTGTTGCAGAGATTTAGTAGTTAATGTATGTGTGAATTTTCATCTGAGCTGCCTCCCGGGGTGATCTCTGCTAAAGCATTGTTTGCTATACTCTTCCATTTTAGGTGTCTCAGGTTGAAATCTCCTAGTAGTAAGATGTTTGGGGCAGGAGTTGGGAGATTTTCCAGTGGTCAATTTTCTCAAGCTGCTCTTGGAATTGCTGGGAAGTTGCATCTGGAGGCTTGTATACCACCACAATGACAAAGTTTTGATTTTCGATCTTTACCATCAAAACTTCAACTTCATCATTTGAGGTGTTCAGTAGTTCTGTGCAAATGAGCGACTCTGTGACATACAGGCCAACCCCCCTTGTTGCCTGTTTAGTCTGTCGCATCGGAATAGGTTATAACCTGGGATCCATATTTCGTTGTCATAATGATCCTTTATGTGGGTCACTGTGAATGCTGCAAACATTGCATTTGACTCCGTGAGCAGTCCCTTGATGTAAAGAATTTTGCTGTTTTTTGACGGCTTTAGACCCTGTAAGTTTGCAAAGACAAATATCGTATTAGTGGAATTTAGGGGAGTTTTATTTGCTGACTCTAATATCTGTTGTTTTGGGGTAAAGGCCAATGTCCGTGTCTCTGCTCCAGAAGTGTTTTCAGGTGGTGTAGGATTATTGTCATTTCTTGCCATTTTTTTTCCTTTCTGGCCATAAAAAAAACCTCTGTCCCTGGAGAGGTTGTGGCTCCTCTCTTTTGTCTGGCTGGTCTGTGTCTTCTAGTCCCCTTCAGATGATATGCCTGGCAATATGCATTGTAGCATTTTCTTTCATGGATTGATGAGTGACACATTTCTGGGTGAAATAGGTTGCAAGAAGGGAAGTTGTACTCTCCTGTTGTCATGTGGGTGCGGCATTTTTTGGGATGGTCAAAGGTGAATGTCCCGCCTGTTTTACCAGATATACCGTGCCTGCAGATACCCAAGGCATAGTATTTACATAGATTGTACTTCTGTTTGTTAGGATTTATTGTAGCTGCATTCACTGCTGATGCATTTATTTTTTCTGTTTCCTCAATATCTTTTACCCATGTATGGACATCAGTGCTTCCACCAGGTTTTGCTGGTAGTGTGTCGACACTATTCCCTGAGGCCTCATCTCATTTGGATCCATCTCCAACAGTATCTCTATTTTGAACCTCTGTGGACTGAATAAGGTTATCTTCAGTGTCCTCCAGGACAACACTAGTACCCTCACGAACTCTATCTTCTAAGACATCACTAGGACCCTCTGGAGCACTTTCCTCCAGGACAACACTAGCACTGTCCTCCAGGACAGCATAGCACCCTCAGGAGCACTTTCCTCCAGGACAACACTAGCACCTTCAGCACTGTCCTCCAGGACAGCACTAGCCCTTCAGGAGCACTGTCCAAGATAGCTCCGTCCCTACTATCCATCTTTTTTTCCCAGCTGTCATACCATATGCAACAACATCAGATGTTGCCCGTGTCTAAATTTTTCAAATTGTCGGTATTGTATACCGTTCATGTACAACTTGTCAGACAGTGCAACATCATGAAATCTTGGTTATACCCAGATGTTGCACATGTCTAAAGTTTTCAACTCTGGCTATCTTGAGCAGTGCCGGGGAAGTGCTGGTTTCTGGTGATTTGTTAAAGAGTAATGAGATAGCAGGTGAGAGAACATGAGCAACCCGTTTGTATAATAATGGTGGAACTTGAGCCAGATTTCCTGATTTGTTTTTAAGTGATTTAATAATCGTAGTGACTTCTGAGGGCTCGGTTGGTGCAAGACAGGAGGAGGTTGGGAAATTCCCTTCTAAGTAATCACATTGGAACCTGGGATTTTACTGGCGAGATTTGATCCTAAGGCTGAAAAAAGTCATTTATCTTCTTAACTGTATCAGTAGGCTGTTGTTAGCCTTCATTCGGTTTAGTCAGGACAATATCCCTACATTTTTTCAGTGTGTGGTGCCTAGAATATGAGAGTCTTCCAGGTCTTGTTTATATCTCCTCTTGTTCGGTGAATCTACCGAAGCGGTACTATTGCTTAGCGTTTCTTATTAGGCTGGTGAGAACTGTTGTGTATTGTTTGACAACAACTCTGGTTATTAAGCTCTCTATATATTGTTTTTTATACTGATGTTTCTTATCAATGGATCTTAGTATGCTGCTAGTTAGCCATGGGCAACTTAGCCGTTTATTCGAAATCTGATTCATTTTTAGGAGGCAACGTTTGTTATATAGTCTAAGTAGTTTGTTTGGAAATATGTCTATCCAATCAGAAAATTCTGTAGGCCAGTCAGTCATACCTAGCTCAGTGATAAATCATATAAAAAACCGACAAGTTGAAGACTGAGACACTTATGCAACATATGGGAATCTTTATTGAGGAAACGTTTCGCCACACAGTGGCGAAACGTTTCCTCAATAAAGATTCCCCTATGTTGCATAAGTGTGTCAGTCTTCATAGCTAGCTGTGTTGTGGAGTTACTTACTGAAGACTGGTGATGGAGTCTAAAAGAAACTTTGTTGTATTCCAGTGGTTGTTTACCAGTGTTTGTTAGGTGGAAGTTGGTGGTAGTGGTCAGTAGTGATGTGATTATCCCTGATTTAAAGGGGGCCCCCTTAAGGGAGGTTCCTTGATCTAGGGAATTGGATCTGTGCTCCAGTTCCCTGAATTAAGCCTGAATACCTTCCATCCCCCCACAGGCGCTGCATAATCCTTGTACCTAGTTCAGCCATCAAAGCTTTGGGGCCCAGTCCCTGGACCCATTACGTACCTCTGCAATCTGTAAATACCTTTGTAACTTGTCATGATTGTGACTAGACCTACCTGGAGTTCATTACCTTTGTAAATTGTGAGTTCATTACCTTTGTAAATTGTGAATTCATTACCTCTGTAACTTGCTCAGCTATTAAAACTTTGGAGTCCAGTCCCTGGACCAATTATGTACCTCTGTAATATTTTGACTACCGCCCACAGGATGGGTATGGGGTGCATAATAAACATATTAAACTAACTTTAGCGCTCTCCATGAGGGGTTTAAAACCTGTCTACTACACTATGGTCAATAAATAGTATACACTGAGAGGGATACACCAGGGATGTTAGGAAGTATTTCTTCAGTCATAGAGTCGTCAGGAAGTGGAATAGCCTAGCAAGTGAAGTAGTGGAGGCAGGAACCATACATAGTTTTAAGAAGAGGTATGACAAAGCTCAGGAAGCAGAGAGGGGAGGACCCAGTAGCGATCAGTGAAGAGGCGGGGCCAGGAGCTGAGTCTCGACCCCTGCAACCACAATTAGGTGAGTACCAGAGGGATACACCAGCCAGGCTGTGGCTCGCACGTTGGATTGCGTGCAACCAGCAATAACAGCCTGGTTGATCAGGCTCTGATCCACCAGGAGGCCTGGTCACAGACCGGGCCGCGGGGGCGTTAACCCCCCAGGAACTCTCTCCAGGTAAATATACCGTATATACATTAAACTAAAACTTCATCTTGTAAGGTATCTTACTAAAAGTAAAAAGAAAATATACAAATAATATAAATAAACACTAAACCTTAGATCTAAAGTCAGTCTGGATTTAGATTTAGATTATTTCAATTTCGGGTTGGGACAACACTGCATGGCCCTTGTTGGTTTAGCGCTTTGAGTATAATAATATAATAGTTTCGGGCATATACGAGGGGCTAATTTTATGTATTTTTTTTTTTTTACCAGAGATATTGAGTTAAGTCTGAGTAGTGTCCTGAAGATGACACCAAGTTATCATTACGCAATAATAATCCTTATAACAGGTGAACGTAGAGGTGATATTCCAGTGATCTCTCCTCCCGCTGTCACTTTTACCATTCATTGTTCACAGAAATTATATAATCAAGCTATGTATTCTCAAAACTAATATTTAAATAAGGGAAATATTTATTATAGATATGACATAAAATGAGAATAAGGTGTATAAACTGTAGTAAGAGTAAATAAGTGTGAATATAATACTAGGACCCCAATGTAAATAAGTCATATTATTTGACTTTATGAGGTTATCTTATATTAATTTATATATATTTCAGTATATAAGAACATTTTAGGACTTTCCAGTTATATATAAAATATAGATAGCTTTAGTAAGTGTATATAAATAAGTAGATAAATAAGTTCATTTAGGCACAATCCCACATTTTTGGACAATTACAATTATCATACACAATAATTCACATGCAAATTACCCGGAATAAAAGCAAAACTCGTCTAAAAGTGAGATATAAGGAGAGAGGTGAGAGCAGTGTCAACAGATGGCGCTGGTGGCCACCTCTGGGCCGGCACTCACACACTCCATACATTTTTTCTCAACTTGAGGAATACCTGCGGCCACCTGACCTCTGCCGACCCAACACTGACCTGAAACATGACCTGAAACACCTGAGGTGAGGCCAGGGGGGGCGGGGGGACCATCATCACCTCTCTCCCACCTTAACACTCCTCTTATTACCTCCTTAATACTCTGGTTTATTCACTCCTGTGGTTTATTAACTGGTTTACGGGTTTAATGTGTCTCTGGGAGGTTTTATTTTAGTGGCCTAGCGGCAAGTTTTTGGTAAAACTTAGGTTGTTTTTTTTAGAATTACCTGTCGTGGAGGTTTAATTATTAAACCTTAGTGATGCTTGTTAAACCTTAGTGATGCTTGTTAAACCTTAGTAATGCTTGTTAAACCTTAGTGGTGCTTGTTAAACCTTAGTGATGCTTGTTAAACCTTAGTGGTGCTTGTTAAACCTTAGTGGTGCTTGTTAAACCTTAGTGGTGCTTGTTAAACCTTAGTGATGCTTGTTAAACCTTAGTGGTGCTTGTTAAACCTTAGTGGTGCTTGTTAAACCTTAGTGATGCTTGTTAAACCTTAGTGATGCTTGTTAAACCTTAGTGGTGCTTGTTAAACCTTAGTGGTGCTTGTTAAACCTTAGTGGTGCTTGTTAAACCTTAGTGATGCTTGTTAAACCTTAGTGGTGCTTGTTAAACCTTAGTGGTGCTTGTTAAACCTTAGTGATGCTTGTTAAACCTTAGTGGTGCTTGTTAAACCTTAGTGATGCTTGTTAAACCTTAGTGATGCTTGTTAAACCTTAGTGATGCTTGTTAAACCTTAGTGGTGCTTGTTAAACCTTAGTGGTGCTTGTTAAACCTTGGTAATGCTAGTTAAACCTTGGTGGTGCTTGTTAAACCTTGGTGGTGCTTGTTAAACCTTAGTGATGCTCTTCAAACCTGAGTGATGCTTTTTAAACCTGAGTGATGCTCTTTAAACCTGAGTGATGCTCTTTAAACCTGAGTGATGCTCTTTAAACCTGAGTGATGCTCTTTAAACCTGAGTGATGCTCTTTAAACCTGAGTGATGCTCTTTAAACCTGAGTGATGCTCTTTAAACCTGAGTGATGCTCTTTAAACCTGAGTGATGCTCTTTAAACCTGAGTGATGCTCTTTAAACCTGAGTGATGCTCTTTAAACCTGAGTGATGCTCTTTAAATCTTAGTGATGCTCTTTAAACCTTAGTGATGCTCTTTAAATCTTAGTGATGCTCTTTAAACCTTAGTGATGCTCTTTAAACCTTAGTGATGCTCTTTAAACCTTAGTGATGCTCTTTAAACCTTAGTGATGCTCTTTAAATCTTAGTGATGCTCTTTAAATCTTAGTGATGCTCTTTAAATCTTAGTGATGCTCTTTAAACCTGAGTGATGCTCTTTAAACCTTAGTGATGCTCTTTAAACCTTAGTGATGCTCTTTAAATCTTAGTGATGCTCTTTAAACCTTAGTGATGCTCTTTAAATCTTAGTGATGCTCTTTAAATCTTAGTGATGCTCTTTAAATCTTAGTGATGCTCTTTAAATCTTAGTGATGCTCTTTAAACCTTAGTGATGCTCTTTAAACCTTAGTGATGCTCTTTAAATCTTAGTGATGCTCTTTAAATCTTAGTGATGCTCTTTAAATCTTAGTGATGCTCTTTAAACCTGAGTGATGCTCTTTAAACCTGAGTGATGCTCTTTAAATCTTAGTGATGCTCTTTAAATCTTAGTGATGCTCTTTAAATATTAGTGATGCTCTTTAAACCTGAGTGATGCTCTTTAAACCTTAGTGATGCTCTTTAAATCTTAGTGATGCTCTTTAAATATTAGTGATGCTCTTTAAATATTAGTGATGCTCTTTAAATCTTAGTGATGCTCTTTAAATCTTAGTGATGCTCTTTAAATCTTAGTGATGCTCTTTAAATATTAGTGATGCTCTTTAAACCTGAGTGATGCTCTTTAAATCTTAGTGATGCTCTTTGAATCTTAGTGATGCTCTTTAAATATTAGTGATGATCTTTAAATCTTAGTGATGCTCTTTAAACCTTAGTGATGCTCTTTAAACCTTAGTGATGCTCTTTAAACCTTAGTGATGCTCTTTAAATCTTAGTGATGCTCTTTAAATCTTAGTGATGCTCTTTAAATCTTAGTGATGCTCTTTAAATCTTAGTGATGCTCTTTAAATCTTAGTGATGCTCTTTAAATCTTAGTGATGCTCTTTAAACCTTAGTGATGCTCTTTAAATCTTAGTGATGCTCTTTAAACCTGAGTGATGCTCTTTAAACCTGAGTGATGCTTGTTTAACCTTAATGATACCCATTAAACAATAATACTCGTTACACATTTGTTATGCACATTAAACCTTAATAATTTGTTAAACCTTACTGATACTCATTAAACAATAATACCCATTAAACCTTAATAATTTGTTAAACCTTACTGATACTCATTAAACAATAATACCCATTAAATCTTAACAGTACTCATTAAATCTTACTGAAACCTGGAGGGTGTTCTGGGGGTCAATGCCCCCGTGGCCTGGTCCATGACCGGGCCTCGTAATGGATCAAGGCCTGATCAACCAGGCTGTTACTGTTGGCCGCATGTAGACTGACGTACGAACCACAGCCCGGCTGGTAAGGTATTGACTTTAGGTGCCTGTCCAGCGCCTTCTTGAAGACAGTCAGGGGTGTATTGGTAATCACTCTTACGTAAACTGGGAGGCAGTTGAACAGTCTTGGGCCCTGGACACTTATTGTGTTGTCTCTCAGTGTACTCGTGGCGCCCCTGCTTTTCATTGAGGGAATGTTGCATCTCCTGCCGAGTCTTTTGTTTTCAGAGGGAGTGATTTTCGTGTGCAGGTTTGGTGCCACTCCCTCCAGGACCTTCTAAGTGTATATTATCATGTATCTCTCTCGTCTGCGTTACAAGGAATACAAATCGAGGGACTTCAACCGTTCCCAGTAATTTAGGTGCTTTATCGTACTTTTGTGTGTCATGAAAGTTCTCTGTACATTCTCAAAGTCAGCAGTTTTGCCAGCCTTGAAGGGGGCAGTTAGTGTACAGCAGTATTCCAGCCTAGAGAGAACAACCAATTTAAAGAGAACCATCGTGGGCTTGGCATCTCTAGTTTTGAAGTTTCTCATTATCCATCATTTTTCTAGCAGATGTGGTAAATGTATTGTCGTGATCTTTAAAAGTGAGATTCTCTGACATCACTCCATTAGTTTTTTTCTATATTGTGTGGCTGGAATTTGTTTTGTACTCTAATCCTGTTTTTATTTCCTTAAGTTTTCCATAGCGGAGTAATTAAAATTTCTCTTCATTGAACTTCATGTTTTCTGAGGCCCATTTAAAGACTTGATTAATGTCTGCCTAGAGATTTGCAGTGTCTATGATGGATGGCACTGTCATGCAAATTCTGGTATTGTTGGCAAAGGACACAGTGTTGTCGCTTACATCTCTGTCATGTATGAGGATGAGGAACAGGATGGGAGCGAGTACTGTGCCTTGTGGAACAGAGCTTTACACTGTAGTCTCCTCTAACTTCAAATAACAAAAAAAGGCACAATACCGTGACTGGGATGATACACAAATTACCCGCACATAAAAGAGAGAAGCTTACGACGATGTTTCGGTCCGACTTGGACCATTTACAAAGTCGGACCGAAACGTCGTCGTAAGCTTCTCTCTTTTATGTGCGGGTTATTTGTGTATCCTCTAACTTTGCTCTGTTTACTCTTACTCTTTGTGCTCTATTTGTTAGGAAGGTATAGATTTATCTACCAACTTTAAATGTTATTCCCTTATGCATTTTATGTGCTGTTACACCATGATAGCACTTGTTGAAGGCTTTTGCGAAGTCTGTGTATACTACATCTGCATTTTGTTTGTCCTTTACTGCATCGAAGACTGTCATTAGTGGTCCAGTAATTGTGAGAAGTAGGAGCAACCTGCTCTAAACCTGTGCTGCCCTGGGTTGTGCAAGTGATGGGTATCCAAGTGGTTGGTAATCTTACTTCTTAGAACCCTTTCAAAGATTTTTATGATGTGGGATGTTTGTGCTATTGGTCTGTAATTAAACCTTAATACTCGTTAAACCCTAATACTCATTAAACCTTAATACTTGTTAAACCTTTAATACTCATTAAACCTTAATACTTGTTAAACCTTAATACTCTTTATACCTTGATGCTCATTAAACCCTGATATGTACTCATTAAACCTTAATACTCATTAAACTTTCAGGGGGGTAACTGATCTTGATCCACAGTAGTGACCAGCCCTCCTATGCCTTGTATGAAAACCAGATTACCTGCCATTTTCCAGGTGCTTCTACTCGACTGTAATAATCTAGAAGAGGTATTTTCAGTTGACCTCAAGTCACCTGACCTTGACCCCTCAATGGAGGTGCATTGATACTGCAATAGTTTTTTCGTGAAATTGAGGCCAGTATGCTGGAGCAGGGTGCAGAGTAGGTTCCTAGAACCAAGCCTTAAGGTAAAGTTTTGAAACACAATCACTGAAGGTCCACAGTCCAGTTTCCTCCCAAGCCATTAACTTTATTTTGAAAATCCCAACTTTGATTGAGTAAATTCTTTTTGCCATCCATCAAGTGCTGTGCAGTCCTCCATGAGCATGGACCCAAATCTTGCAGTGTGGAATACCACCCAAGAAGTATGAGTATGACTGTGAGTGGACAAGTGATGGAAAAAGATGTATAGCAAGAGGAGACCTTTCATTGTTGCAATAGTATTTCACGTTTTATGAAGTGTGCCCTGAACCATCTTAAATGGTGCTATCCTCGTTGAAATTTCTCCAGTTGATCCTTCAAATTTCATAACTTTATCAGACTACTGGGCAGTTTTGAGCCTTGGCCTCTTTACCTGGAGAGGGTTTCGGGGGTCAACACCCCTGCGGCTCGGTCTGAAACCAGGCCTCATGGTGGATCAGGGTCTGATCAACCAAGCTGTTGTAGTGGGGGTTCATAGGAGATATGAAGGTTGGAGATAAACACGCTTGTTGGATGGTAACACGATATTGTAGAGTGTGAGAAGGGAGAGCCCAAACTGCCTCTCCTGTCTCCTGCTTGGATTAC